AAGGAGAAATTTTCTGACAATCATTATACATTGACACTTTCATCTAGATTGTACAATGTAAATTTATTGTTTGTACCCTTATATATATATATATATACACCCTTGTATTTATGTATTTTGTCTTTAGTGTATCAAGAAAATTTAAGTGGACGCATACAACCTATTGTAGTTGTATTCATAAAGATTGTATGCATTGATATAACTATTAGAGTTAATGAATATACATGTGATATAAATTGGTAACAATTGATACACTAAAGCAAATGAAACAAGTAAAATTAGAACGACTGAAAATACAATTGAAGTTAGAATGAATGAATAAATTATGATTACCCAAACTGTATTCGTTGATGTAACCAAAATGCGCATACGAATTCATTCACTTGACACCTCGAATACTTGTTACAAATAATAAATACCTGAACCCATAAGTTTGTTCACTAAATCCCGCTCCTGATATTGTATAGGAGGAATAGTATCTGTGAGTCTTAATGTCCCCCTTTTTCTCCCTCTTTCCTCCACAATATAATAGATTTTTTTCATTAAAAAAAGAGAATTTTGGTTCAAACTTTTATAACGTGACAAGTAAGCATAATATATATTAGATAATAAAGGACCCGTTTACGAGCCCAATATTACAATCTTAAATATATTTTAGGTTAATAGAAATGACATTCTATAACAAATTATCTTTTTTATTTTTCATAAAATCAACTAATAACTTACAACTTATCTAAGTTATCTTAATTAACAGTGAAATGTCACATGCTCCAATGTTTGTTTAATATCATATCAAACATATACATTCGAATTAAATAACTTATTTAGTGATATTTTTTTTGTTTGTATTTGAAAATTATTTAAGAGAATAGAGATTAAAATGATAAGTGTCAAAATATTAGATTTTTTATAAAATTATACGAAGAAACAAAGTCTATTGATCAATCTATAGATTGATTTTGAATATATTTAAATTTGTTTTCATAGATGTTAAACAAACAAAAATAATGATCTACTTGATAAATTTTTTTAGAATGAACCGTATTATTCTTCTACAAAGTGATAAAGAATGAAAAAAATTATGATTTTATGTCTTGTCTTATATACATCAAAATTTTTAGCTCAGTCCTATCAAATCACGGGTTAGATCAGATCGGCCCGTTGGGCCTAGTCCATATTAACGGCTCTATTATTACTTACCAAATATTGTTAACTATTTCTGTAACAATTGCATATCCGGAAACAAGTTTTCAAACTAAAATTGATAAAATTTTACATAAGATCAATAATATTTCCTGAGTGATTACTTCTAATAAATTGATTATAAGAATTTGTTTTAGTAACTTCACATCTCAAAAAGTAAGAAAATAGAATTCAAATAAAGATATATACAAAAAAAAAATTAAAAAAATTTAAGGCTTCTCGTTAAATTATCAATTTCATCGAGAGGCCGCTTCTGAGTGAAGTGATAGTATAAAAATATAAAAGTAACAAAAGTAGAAAATAAAACAGAAAAGAAAGGGTTAAAGAAATAAAAAATGCTAGTAGCATATCACCAGTGAAGTAACTAAGACTTTTTTTTTCAGACGTCTCTGTAAAATACATACCTTATTTCTTAGATATTGACATGTATATAACTAAATAAATTTTCTCAAAAGTCTAGGGGTGCTTTCGATTATTATTTCTTATTAGTTAAATATCATACATGGATTTTGTTCTCGAGCCCTAAGAATATAATAATTTTTTTTTTTAGTAAAAACTAAAAAGTGTTCTGTATCCTTATTCTTTATTGAATATTTACTCTATTTATGTATCACCACCCCATAACTTAAGTATTTGAAGTCTTCAAGAATAATTGCTCTAAAATGATCAATAATTTAAGATAACTATTTTTAAAAATAAGGTCAAATAATTTGAGATGGAGGGAGTATAAATAATCGATGTTATGAGTTATTACTACTAATAAACTGATTTTGGCGAACTTATCAATAAATCAAATTGTCTTTAATTAGTTTGATATGTTATTTTGTTTTAAGAATGGTTCCAAATAAGATAATTAATGAAGCTTTCAAGCGATTGGCAATTTTGTACTAATATTTCAACAAGAACAAAGGAAGAGAAAATTACTCTACTCACTCTTTGGATCACCAAAAATGTTATAATTCACTAAAGGTGTCAAATGGGCGTGTTGGGCGGACCAACGTGTATTTGAGCTCATTTTGATAGCCCTATAATTCACCATTTTATTCAAATAGCTTTAAGCCCCAGCTCACATCCTCACAGTGCCTGACATGAGGAACGATTTTGCTAGTGTCTGTTGGCGTTTTCTTTTTGCAATCATAGTTAGGCGGGGCATGGAAACATGGCTCGAATGATGTAGCTCGAACACAAGGCGGATTATGTGCTGTCCTGTTCTCATTAGGCTTGTATAGTATCCAGGGCTTCAGTCCTCCAAGACCCTGAGCCACATATCCGAAAGTCGACCATGCACTTGTAATCAATTTGTCACTTAAACTCAGTAGATACATTTCTGCCAACGCCTTTTTTTCGTGCAACAGATTCTCACTCTGCTGATATTCCTCCTGACTTGGTTGATAAACGCTAACTATCTCTCCTGTCACAGTGGGATTCTCCCAGTACATTTTTCGAAACTCTTCTGAGTATCCAGGGCTTAGAGATGTTATCAGGACCGATATAGTCTTCCTCTGCTTCGCGGACTGGTTGAAGACTATAGGCTCACTGGACCGGTTAACTTGTGGCAGCAGATTCTCCTTCATTGTACAATCGATGATTTGATCCAGCACATACTTCAAAGGACCGGCATCTGTCTCCAAGACTCCAATTTGAATGCCTAATTTTTCGTCTGCTCGTTCTAAATAAGCTTGATAGTACCTCTTTACAAGCCCCCATACAGAATTTGTGGGATGAAACAGATATCTACTTAGAAAATAGAAGATGGTTACTTTTTCGGGAAAAAGATTACTCAATTCTTGCTCAAATGATGGGATCAAGAATAGAGAAGGCACAAAATAGTTATTTGTCTTCATGACTAGCCAGGGGATTTTCTTGAGGAAACTTTGATCTTGGTCACAGAAAAATAATTTATCTTGATCATCATAGTCATGAGCTAAATGTAGGTAGATGTAGGGAGGTAGAGTCGATGAATTGCTTATGACATTGTGCTTCACCATATAACCGTAGGAACGAGGAGATTTCTGATCAAAGGTACTAAACTGATTGAATAGAGGGAAATCAGGAGGAATCAACCAGGAAACGTCTTGAAAAGGTTCACAGAATAGACCAGGCATGTTAACTCCAGGATCAACGAGTAGGACTCGATTTGTAAGAAGAGCATATAGGAAAGCGGAAGCTAAAGTTAGCATCCTATTTCCTAAACCACTAAAGGAAATCCAAACCAAGTAATTACACTCTGCTGATCCATTGTATTGGCCAGACTTGATAAGCTCGACGCTCCTGTTGTATGATTCTGTATGAGGACCACATTGCTTGTGAAGTACCTCGTAGTCTCGTAATCTTGAGATGAGGTAAGACGATGGCTTGTGAAGCAGTTCTTTATGATATAAGGCGGATTCGTATCTACTTAGACAAGATGTTTCATCAATTCCTGAAGGAAGAAGGCCACCAAGCAGTTTATTTATCTGTACTTGAGAATTAACTGTGGCTGAAAATAACAAAAAAGTAATTAAAACAAAAGTGATTACATATTGCAAAGCAACTCTAAACAGCACAAACCATCAAGCACTTATCTAACTGTTAGATCCACAATCAAACTAGAAGAACAAGCTACGCACACACAGAGAGAACATACTACATTTTCACCGGTTAACGCAACAATGAATGGGAAAAACAGAGAATGTACTTCAACTTTCTCTTGTTATTGATGTGGAACAACAAATGAATCCACTTCATTGCATTAGCAACCTGGAAACTGTTTTCTTTAAAATCGCGGTAGACATGAATGTGAATCGAGTAGAATCAACTATAAGTTCAACAAAAAAAGCTAAAGAAAAGGGGAAATGAAGTACCATTTGGAGGCTTAACGTCAACAATATTAGCTTTAGCTAAATTCTTGATGCTATCAGAAGGTAAGTCCCTGAATATAACTGAGGCGGTCAATAGAATTGTCAAAAACATACCACAAATAATGAGAAAACCAATAAATTTTAAGGGATTCTGAGCCATTTTGCTTTTAAACTCATGGAAACAGTGTATTGTCTCAATCTAAAGCAAAATCAAATTGGAACATTTTTCTTAGAGTGATTGCATTATGTTGGAATTAAAAAATAGCTTCATTAATCAAGATCCATAATCTATGGTGGTTTGGTAATTAAATCTTCTAATAATTAATGCTCATGTCTCCCTGATTCATTAATGAACATATGCTAAGATGTTAAACAAGTCTAATAAATCCTTATTTATTTACATTTTTATAAATTTTCTCATATGAATAATATAATCCTCTATATGTTGATACTTGATGGTGCCCATTATTACTAATTCCATTTGTTGGGAAGATTCTGATGCTAATCAGGATACCATTTAACTATTTTTTTTTAAAAATTCGGATTGTGGAGAATTGAATTCTTACCAACAAGGTGCAAATTTAGATACGAACGAACTGAGCTACTAAGATTTCTCCACTTAACTAATTGTTTGCTAGCTAAAACTGGAAATTAAGGGTCTGTCTAATGAAGACATTTGAATTTTTGTAATTTCATTCTTATATGCATGAAATTGAAAATTTTATCGACTAAATTAATTGTAAAATAATTACTTCTCAATTAATTGATGTTTTTCATATTGGGCGAAGAGCGGATAAATTTACTAGTCCATTAATAAAAAAAATTACTGGCTGTCTCCTCGTAACATGTTTGTCTTTTCAGTTTGATGATGATCTTGTAGTCATTTGGTCGATTATTGAAAGAAAAAGTTTGCATCTGCTTTCCATTTTTATTAAAATCTTTAAAACATAATAGCTATAGGATGAAAATATTATTACAAACCACCAAAGTAAAATAACTCAGGCCTTATTACACACGAATAGGAATTTAAATTTTAATGGTTACATTTTGTTATATTATTCAGGGGTTCCAGTACAAATTAACGATCCATCAGCACGGTATAATTTACAGCCTTCATCTGCTGTGCAACAATTGACGCATACTTCAGTAATTTTTTCATCTCCTGAAGAGGGGCAAGTCATGTAAGCAACTTCATTGTCACAAACCTGGAGACACATCTTTTGTGCATTTCCATATTCCACCTCAACTCCCAACAGAAATATACCTATAAAAAATCACCCAAATGATCAACACAATCAGCAAGGTACGTACCAGATTACATTTTTTGGCTTGAAAGTTTAAAGTGTAATAAAATACAATCAGACATTTCTATAACAGTCTTTGGTACATATGAATTAGGATACTTAATAGGGTAAATGAAGACCATGATTGAGGGAGATTTTTTTTCTCTTCATGTTGGATAGCAAAGTCATCAATTATATTATATATTAAAGTATATGTCAGCTTGTATGGAGAGTTGTTAATTAATTAGTTGCTGCCAAAATTTAACAAGAGGGTAAAAGTGAACTATTTTGTCTTTTTTTGTTTGTTTGTATATTATAGGTTTTTTTTATAACAATATTATGTTGTAGCAGTCAATAAATATCAAGACAATCAACGTCATTAATTATAAAGAGATTTTACGGTATATGAAAGAAGCCTTACCGGACAATAAGAGGAGAGAAAGGATACCAACTTTGCAAAAGGCCATTGTATGTTTCTTTGAATTTGCTGCTTTACTAGTAATTATTAATTTGAGGATGTTATTATAACTTATAATCTCTTAAGCTATTTATAGAGCAAATAAAAGATATTAAAATACAAGTAGGAATAACTTTTCTCATATCATAATAGACCAAATTGTATTTTGTCAAACTTAACTCAAATGCAGCCTTCACATTGGATTGTATGACCCAGCCAACTGTTTGAATATTTGGTATACCTTTGAAAAAAAAAACCTTATGTTTATCCCAAAGATTAATCCCATTCCCATCTTCATCGATATATGTGCTACGATCCACATTATTATAAGTACACTTGAGACAAATACGTAGTACACAAAACACGTGTTTTATAATTGGTGTAAAAAATAATGTTCAACTTTGCTAATACAAATCTTGAATGTTTTATAATTGGTATATAGGGTTTATCTTTCACCATTTCGGTCTCGTGATGAAAAAAATTAGAATAACTATTCAATTTGAAAAAGGAACGTACTCAAAGACATTACGTAATTTGTCTTCAAACAATTATATTACATATTGACCAGCTAAATTAACGCAACAATGAAACAAAGGCAGATTGCAAATTGTGAACCATCAATATATCCTCACTCTAGAAAATATTCTCCCAATAATAGGAAGGGTGAACATGGTACGGTAGATATCGAATTATCATATTAAATTGAAATTTTTAATATCGGAGTTTTGGTATTATAAATTTGATATAGAATATCATATACATTTAAAATTATTTTGGCATTCGATCGGTACGGTATGTATTTGGTATTTATAAATAAATATTGAAATATCGAATACATACTGATATATATACTTACATATATAAGATCATATATATTACATTATAGTATTAGTACAAAACTGATTGTTTAGACGTTGAGATTTTGATTACTCTATTTTGATTGACATGTCTTTTTTGTGTAATTGATTAACAAAGGAAGTCGCTACAACCTAGATGTGTAATGTGTGAATTAGTATGATATAATTGAATTGTTTTAAAAAAAAAATGGAAGTCATAATTCTATAGTATGAATATATATAAGTCAAAGATGAACAAACTATATATGATTACCGACCTACCACACCGTATAATATCAAAATCGATCTTAAAAATATCAAATCATATCAAATTAATTAATTTGGTATGATAGTGATATAGTAATATTTTTAAAATTGAAAATCAAAATTACCGAATCAAAATTTCAAATACCATAGCATATTACGTCCACCCCTACTTCCATACCAGGCCTGCAGTGATTTTCAAAGCTAAAGACTATATATTATTATTACGGCATTATGGCTGTCTGTCGAGTGATTCACTATTGTCAGTGAGGCGAATCAAGGATTAAGAGATTGGGGTTCTAAATTTCGTTAATAACCGTCAATTAATTTTGTTAGAAGTTCACAAATTAATATACATATATATATTTAATTAATTTTTCAGTATAAATATAGAATCTACGGAAAAGCTACTGGGTTCGTCCAAACCCATATACTCCACCTAGCTCTGCCTCTGACTATTGCTGGGCGATTTACAAAAGTCTAACCTCAAATTGACAGGGATCTGTTCGAGCATCTAATTGAAAATTTTGTGACGACTAAATTAATTAATGTAATGATGCATACTAAGTCTTAATAATATAATTATCTTGTTTACCAAAAAAAAAAAAGTAAGTCTTCCATGCATAATGAATTAACATGTTTATTTTTTCTGTTTGATTTTTTTTATTGTTGCTTGAAACTTGAAAGAGAGTTTTCTTGGTTAAATAATGTTTATAATTTTTAACTTCGGATATACATAGAGACGCATTTTTCTAAGTTATTTTGATGCATTCATTAATCTTTTTATTTCACAAAGAGAGAAACGTAACGTATAAAAATAGCTATTTTATCCCATTTTCATCTGCTTCTGTTACCATGAAAGGAATTTAAATTTTACACATGACTCCAGTAATATAATAGTAGAGTAATAGTTATTTTTCTAATATTGAAATGTTCAAAAGCAGATACAAATTATTATAAGCCAGGATGAACATATTACATTAGAAATCACCAGAGTAATAACTCAGGCCTTATTACACACGAATATGAAAAATAAACATTTAATCATTACATTTTGAAACGAAGAAAGTATATATTACTCAGGGGTTCCTGTACAAATTAATGATCCATCAGCGCGGAATAATTTACAGCCTTCACCCGCGGTGCAACAGTTAACGCAAACAGGACTAATTTGCTCGTCTCCTGAAGAAGGGCAAGTCATGTAAGCAACTTCATCGTCACAAACCTGGAGACACATCTTTTGTGCATTTCCATATTTCACCTCGATTCCCAACAGAAATATACCTAATGAAAAAACCCAAAAACAACGTTATTCTTTATAATAATATTTTTTTATAACGGTCAATAAATATTGAGATAAAAATAACGTTATTATAAAGAAGTTTTAGTATGCATCGAAGAAATTGCCTAACCAGACAGTAGGAGGAGAGAAAGGATACCAACTTTGCAAAAGGCCATTATATTATATGTATAATTTCTTTGAATTTGCTGCTTTATTAATTTGAGGATGTTATAATCTCTCAAGCTATTTATAGAGCAAAATAAAAGATACTAAAATACAACTAGGAATAACTTTTCTCTCATCAGAAATTCAGAATGGACCAAATTGTGTTTTGTCAAAGTTAACGAAATGCTGCCTTCACATTGGATTGTATGACATTAGCCAACTTTAATATTTATTTGGTATTCGTACCTTTCACAAAGATAAAAATAAAAATTAAAAAAATCTCCTCTTTGAATATTTTGGTATACCTTACAAAAAATAAAAACAAGAATCACCTCTTTGAATATTTGGTATACCTTTCAAAACAAAATCTTATGTTTATCCTAAAGATTAGTCCCATTCCCGTCTTCATCGATGTGCTTCAGGTGACAAATATTATGAGTAGAGACTTAGTCAAATTTAAATTTTAATAATGTTATTAAAAATAATTTAACAAAAATAAATATTTTATTAATAAATTTTGAAGAAAAATATAATTAAAATACATACTGGATAAATAAAAAGAAACAGAATGAGTAAAGAGTTGTTTGGTTGTTGGTTAAGGAGTACTGATTTAAACCATTATAATTTATAACTAGAACTATATTTGGTAGCATCTTAGTTGCTATGTATAAAATTTAGTACATCAAATATGTATGTAGAAACTGGCTTTCAATCTCGCATAACTAATGTATAAGTTTTGAGGATCTACCTAGGTCACGGCTTCGTCGAAAATTTTTACGGAAAATGCCTGTATAAAAAAAAAAAACACTAAAGGTTAAAAGAATTGAAAGTACGACAGTAAAGGCATTTTTACGGAAAATGCCTGTAAGAAAATACTCCTAGCTCAGATGGCAAAGGCGTTGCATCGGTAGTGTGACAACTCGAGTTCGATTCCCTACAGGGGCGTTTCTTTTTTCTCCTTTTTTATTCATGTTTTTTTTGTTCTTTTTTCTTCTTGAGCCATTCTTGTACCTTTAATGGTGATACCACTTAGAAAAAATCCTACGTACACCACTGATGAGAGAATATATGTATAAGTTATGAGATAATATAATACATCGCTGAAAATGAAATCATTATTACATGAATAACTAAACCCCGCATAACTAATTTCATTAATATATATATACCCACAAAACTAATCTCTTTAGTACTTATACCCGAATAACTTTAACCAACAATTAAAAATTGGTTGACAAATGCACGTGACAATAAACTACTTCCTATGTTGTAATTTATTTGTCTGGTTTTAATTTGATACGGAGTTTAAGAAATTTTAAAAGAATATTGTCATGTAGAATGTATTAAAATGTCTTTTAATTTTTTATCTTAAACATTCAGATGGAAAGTTGAAATTAAAGAATCCCAATATAAAAAGAGACATCTTTTATACTAGACTTAAAAGCAATACGATGAAATTGTACTTATTAAATTAATCCTAATTCATAAAGACCATTTGCGTACACGATTCTTTCAACGGAAAAATAATAAGCCACGTGACAAGTTCGACCTCTTAATTATGTCATAAATATGGCGTGTAACAAAAATGTACTTATATTTTTAATGTAAAGTCAATAAATTTTAATTGCCAAATATCTTCTTTTTTTTAACTTCAAATCTCAGGTGTTTGAATAAAATCTTCGTTTTTAAGAAAAAATAATCTCAATCAACTTAAGAGTTAATATCATAGATAGTCACTCAACTTCTATTTCTTTTCATAGAAAGTCACTCAACTATCATTTGTAATCTCAAAGTCACTCAACTATGAATTTTTCTCACAGAAAGTCACTCAACTAATAGTTATTTTCATAGAAAGTCACTCAACTTTCTTTTGTAACTTCAAAGTCACTCAACTATGAATATTTTACCTACAAAGTCACTCAACTATTTATATTTCATTTAGAAAGTTACCCAACTAATTTAAATATGTTTTCACTAAATTTTGTTGAAATACAATTTTTGTTTTAAACTATTTTTTAAAGAAAAATAATAAGATGCTCATTCAATTTTTTATTAAATTTTGTTGAAACACAAATTTCGTTTAAAACTATTTTTAAAATAAAAATAAATAGAAGATACGCATTTCAATTATTTTATTAAATTTTATTGAAGTTGTTTTAAATTATATTTTTTTTAAACTAATAAATATTCATTTGAATTATTTTATTAAATTTTGTTGAGATTCAATTTTTATTTAAACTAATTTTTAAAGAAATAATAACCATTGTGAACCTAATACAAAATAATAAGATTTACACGGTAGCATTTTTTTTAAATCGAAAATGATGCATTGCATTGCATCCACCGTTGCTAGTGCTGGTGCCTGGCAGCAAAACATTTTTATTAAAAAAATCGTTTTAATAAATTGGTATTTAAACAAAATTAAATAAAATAATGAAAATGAGTATCTTACCGTTTGTTTTTGTTAAGAAATTAGTTTTAAATAAAAGCTGTGTTTCAATAAATTTAATAAAATAATTAAAATGAGAATCTTATTATTTTTTCAGAAATTAGTTTAAAACAAAAATTATTTTTTAATAATTTAATTAAAATGAGCATCTTATTATTATTATTTTTTAAAATTATTTTTTAACAAAATTTAATAAAAACATATTTAAATTGGTTGGGTGACTTTCTAAATGAAATATCAATAGTTGAGTGACTTTGAAGTGATAAAAGAAAGTTGAGTGACTTTCTATGAAAAAAACTATTAGTTAAGTGATTTTATGTGAGAAAAATCCATAGTTGAGTGACTTTCTGTGAAAAGAAGTATAAGTTGAGTGACCATCTATGATATTAACTCATCAACTTAATGGTCAATCTGATCAGTATGCATTGGAAAGCTGTGATTATTAATTAATTCATTAAAGGTGATAAGATCCGCTTAACTGATACTAAATTGATATCATATACATTATTGGTATCATTAAGGTTGATAATTTTGCTTAACTAATACTAAATCAGTATATATATACTGTATTGGTATCATTAAAGTTTCTTGTTTAGAAATTATTTATTAGTCAATGATACTATAAGAGTATATATGCATATTGTTGTGGTATCATTAAGGTTTCTTGTTAAGAAATTACTCATTAGTCAATGATAATATAAGAGTATATATATATATACTCTTATATTATCATTGACTAATGAGTAATTTCTTAACAAGAAACCTTAACGATACCAATACAGTAAATATATATTGATTTAGTATCAATTCAGCGATACTATCACTCTTAATGATACCAATACAATATATGATATTGATTTAGTATTAGTTAAGCGAAATTATCAGCCGTAATGATACTAATACAATATTATATGATACTAATTTAGTATCAGTTAAGCGAAATTACCAGCCATAATGATACCAATACAATATTATATGCTACTGATTTAGTATCAGTTAAGCGAAATTAGTATGGGGATATATAGTATAATTATCTAGTGGGTATAAATGTAAAGGGATATATGTTCGTAATTATTTTACTTTTATGAAGTACTTGCTTATTTTTTCCTTAAATAAGGTGTCGTCTCAGGAATTTTTTACATAGAGTTGGTTTACGAGGCCCAAATAGAACTATGGAATGTCTGGCTCTTAGAATGGAGTAAAAACTTCACGGAATAACATATTTTGATACCACATTAATCTATATCCACATTTTAGAGTGTATAGTGACATTGAGTACTATGTGGTATTTGAAATTCAAGAAAAATGGTATGCATATAGTCATTTTTACATGAATTATATATATACTTGAACTGCAATCATATGTGTATGAACTTCAAATCTATTTAGTTCAATTTCAAACAAAAATAACTTAATTTCAGTCATGTGTCGAAACTTCATCTTCAATTTTTTAAAATATTTTTAGATATTTTGAATTAACAATTATTGTGTCTTATAGTATTTCTTACATAGTTTACAAATATATAAATTTCATTTTTTTAAAATTGAAAATTTCATGAGCAAATTTTCAATCATACTTAAACTGTTTGACTTTAGAAAAATGAAATATGTTACATAAAGTGAGACGGAGGGAGTAATTACTTAGATACATTCTAGATTGTAATATTATGTATCTTATCAGATTTTGATGTGTCCAGATACATGTATCTGGATACAAGAAGTCAAAATTAGGTGTAATTTCTTCTAGATATATTGTATCCAAGTGGATTCGCATGTATCTGAGATACATAATAAATCCCGCTCGCATTCTTCGCATCTCTCATCTCGCTCGCCGCTCTCCTTATTTTTGTGTATTTGGTAGCAAAAATACATGTATCTAAGTGTATTTTCCTCAATATATAGAAGAAAACTTTTAGTTGAAGGTAAGATATATAATATATTGAAAGTAGAAGTGATAAGAATATACTCCCTCCGTCCCATATTATAAGTCACCCCTTTCTAAAAATAGCTGGACCACAATATATGTCATTTTATAAAATTTATGCATAAATTACCATATTTTTACCCATTATACCCTTGATTGATTAACTAATTAATCTTGAAAATGTATTTACTTTGACTAACCTAGGAAATCTACAAGTAATTAATTTTATTGGGAGAGTACTTCATTCATTAATTAACTACTTTCTTTATTCGCTACTTACTCTATAAAATCTGATTTTGAAAAAATAATATCAACAAACAAATTAAAAATAAAAGATGAAAAAAAATTCAAAAATAATCTTGAAAGTTGAAGCTTCAACAAATTTTATCAAGATGACATTTCAAAAAGTTCAAAGGATGTAAAAATAGATGACTCAATCAAAACATGTGAAGGCCAAATTGAGAAAAATTAAGATCCAAATAAAGGAGTTATGCACCATTTAAATAAAAAACAAATGATTTGTCGAACTAGAACTAAAATTCATTTGTCGTCTAATTTCATTATCAATAACATCAGATAAAACAGGAAAATTTAGATCATTTTGAAGTAATGGAATTTGAATATTTTGTGATGTTGTCATGTTTGCTTTAAGAATTTATATATA